ACTAAAGCAAATCATCACAAAAAGTATTTGAAATTCCAAGTTGATTGGTTGTTCACAAAAGCTTTCCTTCTCTTCTCAGAAAATCATTAAATTCACCACCTTGCATTCTTCTCAAGACTTCTGCTATTCACACACAAGCTGATCCACAATAGGCCGGCTGGGGCAAAAGCCAGGCTTTTTGTGTCTTTGGGTGTCTATCGGTGTTCAGGATGTGCCACAGCTGAATAAACATGAGTGAACATAGTCAATAGAAAAGCAATTGAAAACTGTCCGAAGAAGAATAAACAGAAGCGTAATGAAAGCTCTCCATTGAAAGTACAGTTATCACTTAGCTGATGTATTAGTGTGAGAGCTGGCAAATGCATAATGGAAATGCATAAAAGAAGTGAGAGGTGGTGCTCATGATATCTGAGCTAATTAATCTGAATCCTTACTCAGACAAAACTCAAGATGTGTTGATGTGCTGTACGCCAACTGTGCTAACTCAAGCAAAGGCCATTTCAGGATTGTAAGAGGAGCCGTAAAAAGTGCTACGACTTGTCAGAACTTACAAACTGCTGTGCTAATAACTACCTTAAGACAACAGGCATCGACAGACGTTAAGGGACATATATGGCTGTGCTGCAAAACCAACAGTAAGGCGTATAACTACATGTAGAATTTGATGACACCTTAGGTATGCATGATAAAGAGCTTTCTGCAGGTATAGGCAGCTCCTAAAAAAAGATGGATGGGACCAATTAAGCCTCATGCCTCACATTACAGAAAGGCAATTGGCATACTCAGGAAGACTGCAAAACAGGTTGTGTGAAGCGGAGCTTCCTGTGCACCAGATTTTCGGCTGAACGCCAGTTTTCACACCTGCATAGGCTACTCTAAGTGTGATAATTTATTTTTTTGTAGCAGGAACTAGCAACAGCTAGTGCTGTTTTATAAGGTGAGCATCACATTTACAATTACTTATATGTAGAAAAAAAAGAAAAAAAAGGTATACAATCTGTTATTATTCTGTCCACTAACATGTACCATTCAGGTACTGATTTGCATACTTTAAGTACAAATCTGCATCTTTAAGGGAATAAAATGCACCTTTAGGGTACTGTCCCAGTGACAGCTGAATTTAGACATCACAACACTATAATGTACAGTATCATTAAGGAATATCAATTGTAAATTTTTCTAAAAGATTACATTGTGTTGTTCAATTTTATTTGTATTTTTTTACTCTTTTAAAGACATATTCAGAGGCATATTCTATAATGTATTATGAGTTTAGATGTTGTCATATTTATAATTTTTTTTCTGTGAATGTTTGCAGGTGAAATCCAGTTATTTCAATAGGAATTCACACAATTGGACATTTCACATGAGGGTGAAAGATTTTCGCAATAGCTTTAAGTTGGTAATGCAGATCCACCTTGTACACCAACAGAAAGCTTCTTGGTTTGAAAGTGACTTCTGTGTGATCTGTGCTTCCCTTACCAAAAGAAGTATACTTCAAGTTTATTTTATTAAGTATACTTAAGTAAAGTTCAAGTATATTTTTAAAGTTACTGTATGTAGTAAGTATACAAATATCAGTGTACTAGTAGTATACTTACTAAATTGGCCCACTTTCTAGTATATAAAAGTATACTTTTAATAGGTGTTCTAAATTAAACATAGTTTACAGTATATGTTGGTGCAACTCTCCATCTGTGCACAGGGGAAGGATTTCATGAAGCCTTTAAAAATATATTTTTGGGGGGAAAATATTATTTATGGAACACATTTTATATAAAGTGTCTGTGCCCAGTGCATTAAGTACTGTGGAAAAATGACAAGGATCAGTTTAGACCTGTTTAAATGAGAGATTTACAGCTGATGATTGAAGACATGCACTCTGGGTGATGAAAATGTAAACACGTATCCGAAGAATGTAGAAAAGAAGGAATCAGGTGATCAGTGTGCAATCTTTTACTTTAGGGATGAGAAGAAATACATCTAGCCTTTGGATATGAGATAAGAGCTGATTCTCAAGTACGGGGACAAAAAAATAAATGAATAAATAATTGTTTATGTTTGACTGTTACCTCCAGGATCTTGTATTTTCACAAAAAAAAAAAATAAATAAAAATAAAATAATAATAAAAATAAATAAAGTGTAAGTAAATTAAGTGTTTTTTCTTTGACTATCACTCAACATAGGCCAACGGCATCAGACAAATAAACAAAAGAGTAAAATATAGGGAAATCTAGCATTCACCTTAATCACTGAACAAATTGAAAATACAGGATGGTTTGAAATGGTTAGTGAATCAGTGGTGATTTTTTGTATGTCATAAAAAATACAGGTTACTTATGTAATGCACTGATTCAACCATAGACATTTAGAGTGCTTTCACACTTGGTCCAATTGCCTGGTCCGAATCTGAGTTCGAGTGCTCCCCACTCCCACTGCCCCTGCTGGTTTGTGTTCATACCACTGATCTATAATAGAGAACATCTCAGTTACGTACGTAACCCTCGTTCCCTGATGGAGGGAATGGAAAATTTATGTTGCAACGATATAAGGGGTCCCCAATCACCTCTGAGTTTAAGAGAAAAGGCCAATAAGAATTGGCGAGTGGATTTTGCATATCAAGCCACTCCCCAGTACATACAGGTATATAGGATAGCAGCGTGCATCCACTCATTTGGGTTTATGCTGTGGAGCCGAGACCATGTCCCAGCACTCAGCGTGTGATTCAGGGTTGTGGCAACCCTTACGAAAAAGAAGTTTAAGTGTGCTATTAGTATACTTCTTTTAAAGTAAAAATAGGAAAGTATACTTTTAGTCTACTTTTTATGTACTTCTCAGAAATGGGCTTTATGTACTTCTCAGAAATATACTTAAAATGACATTTAAGTATACTTGACTTATACTTAGAAAAAGTCTAAATATATTTTAGCTATAATTGTGCTCCTAGAATCCGTGTTTTCATTGTTATACTGTAGGGGGCGCTAGTACACATCTTCTGTACAGAATTTCCAAAAAACACAAGTGAAGAAGAAACCGAAACAACAGATGCTTCCACATGTATTCTAACACGATCATCAGACATAAAACAGCATCAAAACTGTGTAAGGGCCAATTTAGTCCCAAGGAGTATTGAAAGAATACAGTGAAACTAGTACACTGATATTTGTATACTTACTACATAAAGTATACTTAAAAATATACTTGAACTTTACTTAAGTATACTTACTAAAATAAACTTGAAGTATACTACTTTTTGGTAAGGGAAGAGGACATAATGTCTACGTTCCCTCCATCAGGGAATGAGGGTTACATACATAAACGTTGGGGAAGCATGCCTTGGTCCAAGGGATTAGACCACATCCTACTTGTAGAGAGGTGACATGGAGATACTAATATGGACTGACCTAAGATCTATAAATTGCAAATGATCTTAAAATTGTGTGCAGCTGAACTTTTTCAGATATCCGCCTTAAACGCCCCCTAATTAATATCATTACCACATGAAAGAGCACAAGTCAAAATCCAAATTTCTATGCTTGAGAATGACGAGCACAAAGAAAACAAAACTTTAGTGAGCCTGAAATTGAGGTCCTGCTGGCAGAGGTAGAGGTTTGTGCGGGGACGCTTTTTGTATCACGAGTTTAGTATCACAAAATTCTTGCAAAGCTTAAAAAAACATTATTGAAAGAAAAACTGTACGTTTCATATCATCATAAAATAAATTACACGATTTTGGTCTCCTGTCTGAAAAAACCTGGCATTTCTTTATATTTACACAGACTGTTTACTAATGCTACTCAAATGTGCCATTAATGTACTGACGCAAAAATATATTGTGCATTTTATACAAATATAAATGATGAAAATGACAAAAACAAAGTTTAAGGCTGATGTCTATATTCATTTACTCAGAAGCAAAGCAGCAGATGTTATAAATAAAAACAGTCAACAATGTTATTAAACAGAACATATTAAAAACATGATTGCATGACATTCTTATTGGCTACACAGACAAAACAGTCTGAGAAGTGTTTATGATTTTTTTTTTTTCTATTTTACGCATTAGTAGTAGGCTAAATCAAGACTTCAGTTGTCTTGTAGAATAAAAAACAACATGGAATAAACTGTGTACTCTCAACAACTCTCAACATTACTAAAAAGGTAAGTTTAATCTCACAAAAACTCCCGTTAATAAAAAATCTGTATGATTACACTGCACAATTAATCTCTTACACTGCATCTCTGTTGTTTATGATGAATTTGGTGCTTGTGCGTACACCGCTTTTATTCTTATTGCATCTTAGTTCAAATAATATACTACACACTAAAGTGCGTACGCCTGCTCAGACCCTGACGTGGCATTATTAAGTACTTTTCCACGTCAAAGACCGTTTTTATAAATATGAACGTTGCCGTGGATTTTAGTGTACGCACACTCTAAGATCAAATCTGTGTGTACACACGTTT